AAACACAGATAGAAATTAATTTTTTAAACTTTGCTTCCTAGTTAATTGTTGGAGATTTACCAATGCAGCTCATAAACTTCTGTGTTCACTACTCACTCTTGCAACTAAGTCCTCCCCCTTGGTGTCCAGCTGCCTGCTTGCTGAACTACTCCCAAAGTGCTTCTTTAAACCAACGGCTGTCAAGGCATCGTCTGCAGATGTCTAAGGTCGCTTAGGCAAAAAGATATTTGCATAATTTTACTAGACTATTATTTGCCTTTTTCATTGTGTTGACATTTACACTGAGTGTATAACCAATTGTGAGCAAAACTGCTGGCATCATACTATGAATTAAGGCAATGGCACCAAATTATTCTAGTAGTCACTGAATTCTTCATTGTCATACACTTAACAGAAAAAAATGAAACAAGGGCTGTTGTTGTGCTACAGTGGGATATAAACTGCTGTCTGCATGCCAGATCCCATATTGCAGTGCTGGTTCAAGCCCCAGATGCTCTGTTTACAATCTAGCTCTCTGTTAATGTGCCTGGGAAAGCAGCAGATGGCCCGAGTGCTTGGGCACCTGCCACCCAAGTAGGAGGTCTGGGTGGAGTTCAGGCTCCGGGCTTCAGCCTGACCCAGCCGTGGCTGTTGCACCCATTTGGAGAATGAACCAGCAGATGGAAGATCACTGTTTCTCTTCTCTGTCTGTAACTCAGCCTTTCAAATAAATAAGTCTTTAAGAAAAATAAAATAAAAATGTCAGTTTTATCTAATGCTTTTCAAGAAGTGGTAAAAAAAAAAAACTACCAATTTTATTCAACGCACCTTTTATCATTCTATGTGAGAAATGGGGTACACACTTACATACCTGAGCATTTTCAAGTGCGGCTGCCTAGTGTCTTGAGACAAAGCATGTATGCAAGTTGAACTACCCACATTTTCCAGAAAATACCATCGTTTCTAAAAGTATTGTTTTTTTGAAAAGTCTGTCCTAGGCCAGCGCCGCGACTCAATAGGCTAATCCTCCACCTAGAGGTGCTGGCACACCGGGTTCTAGTCCCGGTCGGGGTGACGGATTCTGTCCTGGTTGCCCCTCTTCCAGGCCAGCTCTCTGCTGTGGCCTGGGAGTGCAGTGGAGGATGGCCCAAGTCCTTGGGCCCTGCACCCCATGGGAGACCAGGAGAAGCACCTTCGGATCAGCACAGTGCGCTGGCCGCAGCACGCTGGCCGTGGCGGCCATTGGAGGGTGAACCAACAGCCAAGGAAGACCTTTCTCTCTGTCTCTCTCTCTCACTGTCCACTCTGCCTGTAAAAAAGAAAGAAAAAAAGAACAAAGAGGAGAGAGAGAGAGAGAAGGTCTGTCCTTCTTCCATTTACTTTGTGTGCACTTTTAACATGAAGATTCATTTAATTTGTCTTCAGTTCCAGGAATTCCACTGTCATTACCTCTTGAAATATCGCCACTCTGCTATTCCCTTGACTTCACAGGGGGGAGCCTCTCAACTTTCCTCCGCGTCTCCTAACTAACTTATCTTCTATTCTTCACACATGTTGGTCTCTTTGTGCTCCTTTCAGGATGAAATCCTTACCTATCAACTATCTTGAACTGTGTCTATGCTAGAGTTTATTCATTATCTTCTTTTTCTAACATTAAAAAATGTATTTTACACTTCCAGTACTTTTAATTGGTTCTTTTCTGAATTTAAATCTGTCTGGTTTTGTTTCATAATTTCCTAGAAGTTTACCATGGATATTATTCCTTCCTTCATCCCTTTGATGGTCTTAAAATATTTATTTGAAGTTAATATTCAGATTGCTTCATTATATTCTGCTGGGAGTGAATTCATCTGATTATCATGTCTTTCTTGGTATTAGTTATCCTCACACGGTTTCGGATTTTCATTTGATGGTTCTTCTTGAATAAGAGCACTCACTTCTCTCTGCTCCACTCACCCCTCATTGTCTAGTGCTTTTACAGTTACTGCCACTAACCTCCACCCTCAACTGTGTAAGACCTGCATCTGGTCTGCGGGTTCCGCATCCGCAGAGTAAACCAATTGCAGATAGAAACTACTTTTAAAAAAGGCATCCCTACTGGACAATACAGGCTTTTTCTCCTTGTCATTATTCCCTAAACGGTATAGTGTAACAACTATTGGACTCGCATTCTGGAGGTGATTTAAAGTATATGGGAGGATATGCAAAGGTTATGTGAAAACACTACACCACTTTATTTGAAGAATTGAGCAGCTGTGGGTTTCAATACTACAGGGGATCCTGGAACCAACCCCCATGGACACTGAAGGAGGACTTTACCGACAGCTCAAGGTTTCTATCCAAGGACATCACAAAGCTATTCACGCCAAGGGCAGGTCCCTGTCTCACTGTTCTTTCTAGGTCCTTCCATGCCTACTTTAAATAAGCCACACCCAGGCAGCTTTGTTCAGCTTCTTTTAATTGGCAGGACAGTCCTACCCCAGTTTTTTTTTTTTTTTTTTAATTTTATTTTTTGACAGGCAGAGTGGACAGTGAGAGAGAGAGACAGAGAGAAAGGTCTTCCTTTGCCGTTGGTTCACCCTCCAATGGCCACCGTGGCCGGCGTGCTGCGGCCAGCGCACCACGCTGATCCAAAGGCAGGAGCCAGGTACTTCTCCTGGTCTCCCATGGGGTGCAGGGCCCAAGCACTTGGGCCATCCTCCACTGCACTCCCTGGCCACAGCAGAGAGCTGGCCTGGAAGAGGGGCAACCGGGACAGAATCCGGTGCCCCGACTGGGACTAGAACCCGGTGTGCCGGTGCCGCAAGGCAGAGGATTAGCCTAGTGAGCCACGGCGCCGGCCCCTACCCCAGTTTTTGAGACCTCCTCTGGTCCCCCATTCATTCATGAAGTTCATTTGGTCCCAAACTCTCAAGCAGTGTTTCCTACTCTTTTTGACACCACGGCACTACTTAGAAAATGATAGTATTTGTATGGCACATAGGTAGATGGATGAGACAGTCTTTACCCTAGAAAAAAGACTGCCTGGGGGTTCTGAGCACCCAGCCCAGAGGAGCTGCCTGAAGTCAGAGAAAAATCAGTATTTCACATACTGGTAAACTCACTCAGACAATGCTCTAAGGGTCATAATACCCTAAAAAATCAACTCCTGGCACCTTCTCCCTGCTCCTCATTGCACTTGCTTCTAGTCCATCAGGAAGTCTATTTTATTGTTAAAGTCAAGTATATCAGTAACACATTCATTTACCATTATTATATATTTGCAGCAGAATGCAAAATTTAATGAATGTGCTTAAAGGATCATTATAAGCAGAAATTCATGCTTTTCCCTCAGTTTAAAACACCCACCTCCCTTGAGGCCAGCATTGCAGCACAGCAGGTAAAGCCACTGCCTGTGGTGCTGGCATCTCATATGGCCACCAGTTCAAGTCCCAGCTGCTTGGCTTCCAATCCAGCTCCCTGCTTATATACTTGGGAAGGCATTAGATGGCCCAAGTAGGCCTGCCAGTCACATTCCAGGCTCCTGGCTGTAGCCTGGCCTGGTGCCAGCAGCTGTAGCCATTTGGGGAGTGGACCAGTGAATGGAAGATCTCTCTGTGTCCCTCCCTCTGCTCTGTTATTCTGCCTTTCAAGTAAATAAAATCCCTTTTTTTTTTTTTTAAAGGAATCAGACAATGTTCATGGTCACCAGTAGTGTGTGTGGCTCCCTTTCCTGTTTCCTTGTTCCCACCACATGCTGCAAAGGGACAACATCTCAGCTCTGCTTTGAGAGACCTGCTGACTCAACTCTTCCAAGCCTCGGTAGCATCCTGGTTGGAAAGGCGTTCTGGAACAAGTGATTTGCCTAGCATTTAAGGCATCTCTATCCCATGTTGGAACACCCAGGGATGACACCCACCTCCAGTTCCTGACTGCGGCTTCCAGTCAGTGCACACTCTGGGAGGCAGCAGTGATAACGCAAATAACTGGGTTCCTGCACCTACTTAGGAGACGCGGGGGCAGACAGGTGGGGAGTGAACCATGGGAAAGGCATTCTTCTCTACATATCTGTTTCCCTGTATATTGCTTCTTCTCCCAAAGAAATTTTTAAAATTATTATTATTATTATTATTAAAAAGGCTTCCTACTGCCACAACTTATTCAGGCAAAGTACCCAATAAGAACCTGAAAGAGTAATTTTATGTGTGAATTTAATGTACATGAAGAAAAGTATTTTAACAGCTCTCTAGACCATGTTAACCCTGAAAACATGAGGAGGGAAGAGAAAGTCTCCATGAGAATCCATTTTCAAAACCAAGGCATCTATTACATTTTGCTGATTTCAAACTAGAAGATGACGTCTGTCAGAAATTCTAGCAAGGGAGAGCTACTGCAGCAAAGTACTTTAAAGTTCAAGTTACAGACAGGAATAGATTCTACTTCCAAGCACCACATTTTTAATATAATTGTTTAATGAGGAATAGAGCCTAGTGGTTGAAAGGAAAATTGAGCCACCGACTAATAACAACTTAAACTAAAATTCAGAACAAAAGTTCCATAGGAGCAGAAGAAAACAGTGCAGAAACCATCTTCCACTGACAGAAGCTTTAGGGAGCAATGACCCTCTGACCCCGGGTCTCCGCCTCTGCAGAGTGACAGCCATAGCCTCACAAGGAGCTGGGGCAATCAAATGAGGTCTGTAACCCAGCCTAGAGCCCAGCTCACTGTAGGTACTCAACAAACATCAGTTCCCTTGCGTTTACCTGCGATGATGCTTCACCAGCAGGTATCAAAAAAGGGTTTGGAAACTAAGATCCATCTCTCATTCTGGATTCACAAACTTCTACGTCTATTGTGCAAGCACATTCTCTGAGATAAGCATGAGCTAGACGGGGCCATGATCTGGTGGGCACCCTGAACTGAGTCAGTGTGGCAGTCTGGTTCCCAGGTCAGTGCCTAGAAAGACTGGCCCGGGCTAGAATGCAGCTTAGGTGGCCAGGAGACAGCCAGAAAGTAGAGCAGCCAAAAGGAGAAAGGATTACTTGAGCTTCGGCTCCCGTCCTTCGCTGGTGTACTGCCAACAGATGAGCCCAATCAGGTCTTGCACCCTGGCGCTGGCCATGGTCACCACGGTCATTGGCAGCAGTCTATCCTGGCTCGAGTGCAGGGGGAGGTAGACGTCTATCTTCTTGGTGGCTGTCGTGCCAACATGACCCTGTGGACAGAGCACACACAAGAGTGAAGCACAGAGCCATGGGCACGCGGGCCACAACCACAGCTCTCCAGCCTGTGTGCAACAGTGGGCATCTCTCATCCTTTCTGCCCAGACCTGCTGTGAGCCTGGCACAGTCCCCAGGTGGAAACATGGTCAAGTTTCAAGGTCTTTTCCTTTAATGGTCTACTGGATGCAGTTCTGCCAGCGGAGAGGTAAATGAGCACTGCCACTAAGATGAACAAATGAGAATGGTAACAAGCAGAGTTGATATTTGGTGGTAGGAGACTTGCTTTGCTACTAAGTAAATGTGACCCTGGAAAAGTCACCATTCAACCTTGGCATTTGCTGCCCTCCCTGTAAACTGATGTATCGCTCCTTGAAACACTGCGCTAAGGGGCCTGGGAAGTTATCACATTCTGGTGAAGCATTCAGGCCTGCAGCCCTGGAACCAAGGGCTTTGTCTTCTGAGAAACGACTGGGGCTGATTCCAGTCTCTTTACCTCGGTTCCTTGATCTACCATTACCTCTCATGCCCTCACGTTCTCACAGACCTACGCCTCCTCCCTCCTGAAACTGCCACTCTGCACTCTGGGGCCTCTGCTACCAGTCAGCAATACACCTGGGCTGCTTTTCAACCACATTCTCTCCACCTCTGCGTCAACTGAAACGTACTGGTTGTTGAGGATACTGCTTGCTCTACTGTCCTCCTAAAGGGGGACTGTTTTGCAGTTTTGTAACTGGCAATTCTTTAAGGCTACGAGGTGGTGTAGATATTTTTGTCCTAACACTTCCAAATGATTACTTCCCCTTTACTGCAAAAAGTTCTGATCCTTAGAGGCCCAAAACAAAACAAAACTGGGGCCCGTGATATGGCATAGCATGTTAAAGCCTCTGCCTCCAACACTCAAATCCAAATGGGCTCCTGTTTGTGTTCTGGCTGTTCCACTTACAATCCAGCTCCCTGCTAATGCACCTGGGAAAAGCAGCAGAAGATGGCACAGGTGCCTGGCCCTCCGTTATCCACATGGGAGACTCAAAATAAGCTCCTGGTTCCTGTCTCAGCCTGGCTCAGCCCTGGCCACTGTGGTCATCTGGGGAGCGAGTCAGCAGATGGAAGAACTTTCTCTCTCCCTATTTCTCTGTAGTTCTTTGAAAGAAATAAATAGAGCATTAAAAACAAAACAAAACAAAACAAATCTGAGTGACTGTATGACCTAGTAATTCTATTCTTAGGTATATACTCCAGAGAACTCAAAATACATGTTTACATAAAAACATGTACACAAATGTTCATGGCAACAGTATACCTAACAGCCAAATGGAAACAACCCAATGCCCTTACCTGATTAGTGATTGCTATTCAGCCACACAAAAGAATGAATTACTGATACATGCTACCACAGGATGCACCTATAGTAGTAACTCATTTATGAAATCTGAAATGTCCGAAATAGGCAAACCCAAATGGACAGACTGGATTAGTGGGTGATGGGAGTTAGGAGGAGTGGGAAATTAGGAGGTATGGAGCTTCTTTGCAAGGGTGATGGAAATGTTCTGGAATTAGGCCGTAGTAATAGTTGTATAATATTGTGATTATACTGAAAACCACAGAATTATAAACTTTAAAATGGTGAATGTTAGGTAACATGAATTTCATCCCTGAAAAATACATATTTCAAAACCATTTCATTTTCTCCATTTCTATTACCACCATCAAGTCTGTAAGAAGTTCCAAATCAACCCACTGTATTCCTGCCTGCTCCGATTTGTTCTCCATATATTAAAAACAAACCTCAAATCTGATCACGCATGCACCTCTTTAAATTCCTCCAATGAGTGATTCCCACAACACTTTGAATAAAGCCCAAACTCCCTGCAAAAACCCACAGGGCACTCTACGAGCTGACTCCCACCCACCTCTCACCACTCCCCGTGGCTGCCCCCAGCCCTGATGGCCTGCCAGCACTCTGAGTGCATGCATCTTTCAAGGCCTAAGCAGGTACTGTTTACCATAGCAGAATGTGTGGAAATGGAATTAGATGCACAAAAAAAGCTTTGCTATCCATGTACATGAAGAGGTCTTTAAAAAGTTCATGAAAAATGCATATTATGACAAAACTAACCATGCCTTGTTTTTGGCACCCAAGGGCAAGCGTTAGTTGTAGCAGTTAAGATGTTCTTGGGATGTCCACATCCATACTGGAGTACCTGGGTTCAAGTATCAGCTTTGCTCCCTCTGCTAGTTTCCTGCTAATGTATACCCTGAGAGGAAGTAAGTGATGGCTCAAGTACTTGGGTCCCTGCCACCCAAAATGGGGACCCAGGCTGCGGAGACCCTGACTATGATGGGCGTTTGGGGAGTGAACCAAAATACAGGAGACCTTTCTCTTTCTGTTTCTTGTTTCAAATAAAATAAAAATAAAAATAAAAAATTTTGTAACCAAATAAACTTTTTACTTCTATTTTTCCACAAACCTTTTGAAATAACCTCATATAAAAAGGCAGCTCAGGGCTGGTGCTGTGGCATAGCAGGTAAAGCTATCACCTGAGGTGCTGGCATCCCATATGGCCACTGGTTTGAGACCTGGTTGCTGCACTTCCTATCCAGCTCTCTGCTGTGGCCTGGGAAAGCAATGGAAGATGGCCCAAGTGCTTGGGCCTCTGCACCTGCATAGGAGACTCAGAGGAAACTCCTGGTTTCCGATCAGCACGGCTCCAGGCATTGTGGCCAACTGGGGAGTGAACTTGCAGATGGAAGATCTACCCCTCTCTGTCTCTCCTTCTCTCTGTGTAACTCTGACTTTCAAATAAATAATTAAATCTAAAAAAATAAATAAAAAGAAGGCTCTTTTTGGGTCTTTGCAGCCTGAATCCTCATCTTTTAACATGTGCCATGGACAGGCTACTAAATCTGTTTGGTTTCTTCATATGAAAAATGCTAATACTGACAGGATCTACCTATCACGAGGAGAAGGAGGCTGATGATGACGCGGGGCTCAGCTCACTGACTGCCCTGGAGAAGCCTTCACTGATAATGCTACATAAAGAAGCTCCTTCACATGCTTATATACATGCGTCCTTGTATACATGCGTCCTTGTATACATGCGTCCTTGTGTACATACGTCCTTGTGTACATGAGTCCTTGTATACATGTGTCCTTGTGTACATGCGTCCTTGTGTACATGCGTCCTTGTACACATGCGTCCTTGTGTACATGCGTCCTTGTGTACATGCGTCCTTGTGTACATGCATCCTTGTATACATGCATCCTTGTGTACATGCGTCCTTGTATACATGCGTCCTTGTGTACATACGTCCTTGTGTACATGTGTCCTTGTACACATACGTCCTTGTACACATGCGTCCTTGTGTACATGCGTCCTTGTGTACATACGTCCTTGTGTACATGCATCCTTGTGTACATACGTCCTTGTGTACATGCGTCCTTGTGTACAAACGTCCTTGTACACATGCATCCTTGTGTACATACGTCCTTGTGTACATGCATCCTTGTGTACATACGTCCTTGTGTACATGCGTCCTTGTGTACAAACGTCCTTGTACACATGCATCCTTGTACACATACGTCCTTGTACACATGCGTCCTTGTGTACATGCGTCCTTGTATACATGCATCCTTGTGTACATGCGTCCTTGTATACATGCGTCCTTGTGTACATGTGTCCTTGTATACATACGTCCTTGTGTACATGCGTCCTTGTATACATGCGTCCTTGTGTACAAATGTCCTTGTACACATGCATCCTTGTATACATACGTCCTTGTATACATACATCCTTATATACATATATCCTATTCATTCCTCCAGAGCACTTAACAATTTGCAATTGGACATTTATGTATTTGCAATGACATGCTGGTGCCTTCCCCAATAGCTTCTGAAGTTCCATGAGGGCAGTGATCATGTCTGCTTTGTTTACTTCTCCATCATGATAATCCCTAGCATGGGAGACACCCCCTTTTCTGTTGAACTACATAATGAACACATGCGTGACTCAGGGCCTGCTGGGCCACACAACAGGCACTCAGTAAATGTCAGTTTCCTTCATCCCCAGATGGAAATGGGGGTGGGGATTGGGTAACCATGTGTTTCCCATAATTAACACTCTGTAATTTTATCATTTTGGGTAAAGGAGGAGGTCAGGAGGAAGATAAGGAAATACACAGTCAGTTGAAAAAACGTAAGAGAAATTCCACTTTTCATAACCCAGCAAGTTGAACATTTTTTTTGCTTTAAGCCTTATCTCTAGGTTAAAAGCAAATAATGAAGAAGCAATTCTTCCACAAAATATTCTCTCTTCTACACATACACATGTACATGCATGTGCACACTCCCAGACACATTCTCAGCTCTGAAATGGCTAACAATGACTTTGTCGAGCAGATAAATGGTTAAAATGGAAACACTGGCAATCCTTCTGGAGTGGGTCTGTGGCCATCAAATCAGCCTGTCGGAGACCTGGGTCCATCCTGCCATTGCTTTCTCGCAGTCTACTCCTCTCCTTCCTGAAGAACTAGAGCTCAGGGGCAGGGAGCACAGTACCTCCAGACAGAGACTCAACGAGAGGACGACATGTATGTGCTTCAGAAGCTGTCAAGTGCTTCAGAAACACAGCTCAGTACTCAAGAAAGGGCCCACGTTTTAAATCGGACTCATTTCTACTACTCAAGCCTATCAGATGGGCATATGAGGCCAAAAATGGATGCCAGGGGAGCCCTAATAGGATTGATTATTATAACAAGAACTAGCATTTATTTAGAGCTAACTGTTTAGTAAACTCTGCTAAATGTTTGCCTAAATTATCTCATTTGATTCTCACAATAACAATAAGAGACAGGATTCTATCCTTACCTTTATATTATGGCAAAGAAAACTAAGGCTTCTAAGGCCATAGTCATCTGCTCACCACCCATAGCCAAGGTGGAAGAGCCAAGATCCAAACCTATGTCTCAAAGTTACTCTAAATGCAATCAAGCA